TCCTGCAAAAAAAGAGGAAGATCCATCACTAAAATGATTCCTGTCCCTCCAATGCTAAGGCTCCTCATCCCGCAAAAAACAAATGCTAGGGCTCCTCAACTCACAGCGACAGTTCACAAGAGTATAGTTGACAAATTTGATGCCTTCATTCATACGCCAAATGTGTACAACTAACCTCTACTAATTCAATACTTGTGCCCTTGCAAAAAAGAACCTGTTGATCAGTTGACAGGCACTACAATCAGTTTAAGGACAACATGCTATTGGAGCAATGTCCCATATTTTCTTGCCAAAAACATAATGGAGGCGCCATGCGTTCTTACAAGGAAACGAGCCACCAAGAAAATGGAGGTAACGTGCATTTTCTTTTTGGCGTCCTTACAAGGAACGAGACAACACCAATTTTGAAAGAATAACGGTTTTGCTATTTAACAGCCGACTGTTTTTCAATTCGTTGTCACTCGAATTTGTGCCCGTCTGATCTCGCGCTGAGATTCGCGCTGGGAGTAGTTGTTTCGGCCGCGGGTTTCTTTTGTCGGGCTCGGTTTTATTTTGGATCTGCCCGTTACCATCTCCCCTGTGTGTGACGTTTCCTTTTCCTTTTCTCCCTTTCAAAATTTTCCCCATTTCATTTGGGTTGTACTGTTTCGAAAGGGAAGAGGGGCAGAGTAGGGAGCGATATGAGGAGGCGGTCGAGCGGCAGAGAAGTTGAGGCGATTCCATCGGGTTCATGGCGTTTCCGAGATCCCTCTATGCCGGAGCTTGATTCTTCTCTTTGATTCCCAACTTCCTTGGTTAGTTCTTCTTGTCTATCTCCCTTCCCATGTGCGATTTGCCATGATTGTGGTTGTGTAGCTTCCAGATCTAGGCGTTCGTGCGTTTGTGTTGTAGAATTTGTTGTTGTTTGAGTATTTAGCTGTTGGTTCTGCTTCGTGGTTCGTTTAGTTTCCTGTGGATCCCGTGTGTTTGCGTCAGTTGTTAGTATTCGTGTGTTAGCCCCTAGCTTTGTGATTCCGCTGTTACGTTTTAGGTATGCTCGTTTTGCTCCTTCCGTTGTAGCCGCTATTTGGTTGCTTGTTTATGAATTTTTTATTGATATGTTGGTGCTCTGCTAGGGTGAGGGTTTGTGATTTCTCAGGTGATAGGCATGTCTCTGTGTTGAATCTTTTGGATTATCCCCTGCAGTTGCAGTTTCAACCATCTGATAGGGTCAGGTTTAGGTAGCAGTACTTTTTTAGAGTTGGTTTTCTTTTGTGTATGAGTTCTTTCAGAGTTTGCAGTGCTATTTTCTTCGTAGTTCGTGGTTTTTTCCCTCCATAATCCCCTGCGTTCTAGCACTGCAACTAGGTCGGCTAATGTGTGTCAATTTTTTTCTATATGTTTTCCTTGAATTTCAGTGGATTTTAGCTCTGAATTGCACTGTAATATCCGAGTATTTCCATGTAATGTAGTCCCTCAGTTTTGCACTGTATTGTTCTCTACTGTCTTTGTAATTCCCGTCTGAATTATTTGCTGTAATTCTTGAGCTTTTGGTCTGTAATCCCCCGGTTTAGACCTAGGTTCGCACTATAAATTGTGTAGCTTTGCTTTGTAATTAATGTGCTTTTTGACTGAAGTAGCTTACTCCGTAATTTTCATCAGTTTTGCACTATAGATACACTGCAACAACCATGACAATTACACTGTAATTTGCATCGTTCACTGAAAATAGCCTGCAAGTAATTACACTGTAATTTTCCTCTATGTACACTGTAATATCCATGGTAATTACACTGTAATTTCCCTCAATATACACCTTAATATTCGTGGTAATTACACTATATTTCTCTCAATGTACACTGTAATTTCCATACAGTAATTATACTGTAATTTCCCTCAATGTACACTGTAATTTATGTATAGTTTTTACACTGTAATTTCCCTCAATGCACACTGCAATATGCATGGTATTTACACTGTAATTTCCCTCAGATTTCTCTTAATTTTCCTGTAGTATTTACACTGTAATTTCCCTCAATGTACACTGTAATATGCTTGGTATTTTCACTGTAATTTCCCTCAGATTTTGGCCAGTGTAATTTCCCTAAAGTAAACTGTATAATTGCTCTGTAATTCATGTGATTTTTGCACTGTAATCTCCCATTTCTGATTTTCACTGTAATTCATGTGCTCTCTTTGTTGTATGCGATTGATTACTCTGTAATTTGTGTCAGGTTTACACTGTAATTTCTTTGGTTCTTGAGGGTAATTTCCATTAGTCTACACCGTAATTGGTGTCTCTTGGTTGTGTTATGCGCTGGGGTTGTGTATTAGCCGGGATCTGTCATCTGTGGATGGGAGGGGTAGAACAAGGCGAATATAATAACAATCGGGACTAGACACTTCCCCCCTCCCCTCGCGTCGCCCTCCCGAGGGCGCCTCGAGGGTTCCCTCCCCCGGCCGCCGCCAGCCCCCCTTCTCAGCCTCCCCTCCTCGCCGTCGCCGGAGGCGTCGCCGGGCTCCCCGCGCGGCCGGTGATGAGGGCGGCGGCGGGGTTTTCTGCTGCTCTGCCGCTGGGCAGGGGGCTAGGGCTCGGGGCGGCGGCTCCAGGTTGTGCGGGCGGCGCTCCCCGGCGGCGGGCGGCGTCCCTTGGCGCGGTGGGCCGCCTTTGCTCGGCTGTGTGGACGGCGGGCCGGCGGTGGATCCGAGCGGCTGGTGGTCGGTTCCCTGTGTCCGGCCTCTTCAGATCTGAAGACGCCTCCTTTGGCTCCTGCTGCGGCCTCTCCTACGCCATGTCCTGCCGGATCCGGTGGACGACGTCGTGGTGGTGGGGTGGGGAGCCCTGGATCGGGGTAACCTCTTGGCCAGCAGCGGCGGCCACATCGTCGGCGGTGCTCCGTGCGCCGCTCCCCTTCCCGAAGGCGACGTTGAGGTCCATCTCCCTCCCCTCCCTCCCTCCCCTGCTCCCGGGTGAAAATCCACAACCTTTGTTGGGCAGCGACGGTGCCTCTGCACCTCCTTCTTGAAGGCGTCGTTTTGGGTTGTGGGATGGAGGGTGGCCTGCGGCAAGCCTTTGGTGTCCTAGTTGGCGGCGGATCTTTCGTCCAGCGGTGACTTCCCGGCATGGAGGATCGATGTCCTCCTCAAGCTGCTTCATTTCCTCCTCTGCGCGGTCCGGTTGTCCGGTGGGTCGACGCCCTCGGCCTCGGCGAGAGGGGATAGTGGTCCCCTCTACGGCGGTCTGGTCGCGTTGTTGGAGGAGTGTCGCTGGTCTTGGTGTGGCTCGGACCTCCTGGTGGCGTCGTTGCCCATTACTCGCCGTGTCTTCTTGAAGTGCTCGGTTCCCATGGCTAGTGTCTGCGGCCTGCTCCTCATGTGCAAGTTGCAATTTGTGGCTTCGGGTGTGCTCGAGTGGTTGCACTGTTTTCTTGCTGGCTCTGGTGAGAGCAGCTGTGCTTTGCCTTCGGCGTGTCGATGGCGAGCTCCTTCCTTGGCGCAATCCCGTCTAGCCCCTGTTAGGTCCCCAAGATGTACTCTTTTTATTCTCTGGTCGTAGATTTTAGCTTCACCGGTGCCTTGTATCTGCTGCCTTGGGGTTGCATCCCCGTTTTCCTTTTTATCTTTGGTTGTTTGGTGTGCTCTTGTAATCCTGGCCGGTTGATGGCTTTGTTAATTCAAAGCCGGGTGAAGATCGAGCCCTACTCGGGCTCGGTTCGATCCTTTCATCTAAAAAAAAAAGGGGTAGTACAAGGCGAGGTCTGGGATGTGCGTTTGGGCCTTTTCGTGGGTTGCAAGCTCAAGGTCAGCTGTTTGCTGCTTTTCCTCTTCTTTTAGTTGTCTGGTGCTTTGTGGTCGCCGCGTCGTTGTGTTTATATTTCGATTAGTTGAGAACCGGGTCACAATTTTAGCCCAACCAGTTGTTATTGAAATACACACAAAGATCGGTAGTAACTGGACATACATGTGTCAACAGAACATTGGTCAGGAAATTTGAATGATAACCAATTAGAAATCAGTCAAATGCTAGATAGACACTCCCAAGAATAATAATGTAGATAACCTAAGCAATAATGCAGTGCCTCGCTGCCGTCCTCTCGCAATAATGCAGTGCTAGAATATGTGGGAGTTTATCTCGTGGAACGGCAGCTACTCCCTCCGCGTGCAGCAGCGCTGCCTACTTATTCGTGCTCCCCGTCCATGCTGCCACCACACCGCTGACCGCCAACACCTCTTGCAGTGACAATGGAGCTCCTCAGACCATTCGCGGCCCTGTGCGTCCTGCTTGGCTTCGTCCTCGTCGCCGTGGCGGTGGTGGCCACGGAGGTGGAGAGCGAGACGTGGGAGGCCCAGTCCTGCTACATCGTGCACGTCGCGGCCGCGCACGCGCCACGGCTGCCGCGCCGCGGCCTGCTGGCCACGCGGGCGTATGGTGCGTTCTTGCGCAATCAACTCCCCGTCGAGTTGTCCAGCCCGGCGCCGAGGGTGCTCTACTCCTACGCGCACGCCGCCACGGGCTTCGCGGCGCAGCTCACGGGCCGCCAGGCCGCGCAGCTCGCGTCCTCGGGCTCCGTGCTCGCCGTCGTGCCCGACGTGATGCAGCAGCTGCACACCACCCTGACGCCATCCTTCCTCGGCCTCTCGCCGTCCTCCGGCCTGCTCAAGGCGTCCAACGGCGCCACGGACGTCGTCATCGGGGTGATCGACACCGGCGTCTACCCGGAAGGCCGCAAATCCTTCGCCGCCGACCCGTCGCTGCCGCCGACACCCAGCAAGTTCCGCGGTGGGTGCGTCTCGGCCTCTCGGGTCCGTCGTTCAACGCCTCCGCGCTCTGCAACAACAAACTCGTCGGCGCCAAGTTCTTCCACAAGGGGCTGGAGGCTGCACGCGGCCGCGCCCTAGGTGAGGACTCGTTGTCGCCGCTCGACACCAACGGCCATGGCACCCACACCTCCTCCACCGCCGGCGGCTCACCTGCCGCGGATGCCGGCTTCTTCGACTACGCCGGAGGAAAAGCCGTCGGCATGGCCCCGGGCGCGCGCATTGCCGTCTACAAAGCGTGCTGGGACGAAGGGTGCGCGAGCTCTGACATCCTCGCCGCATTTGACGAGGCCATCACAGACCGTGTCGACGTTATCTCTGTCTCGCTCGGCGACACCGGCTTGGCCGACAACTTTTACAGCGACACAACCGCGGTGGGGGCGTTCCGCGCCGTCAGCAAGGGCATCGTCGTCTCCGCCTCAGCGGGAAACTCTGGCCCCGGGGACTCCACCGCCGTGAACATCGCGCCGTGGTTCTTGACGGTGGGCGCGTCCACACTCAACCGCCGATTCCCGGGCGACGTCGTTCTCGGCAACGGAGAGACCTTCACGGGCACTACTCTTTACGCCGGCGAGCCGCTCGGCGCGACCAAGTTACCAGTGGTCTATGGAGGGGACGTGGGCTCCAAAGTGTGCGAAGAGGGGAAGCTGAAACCAGCCAAGGTAGCCGGGAAGATTGTTTTCTGCGAACTGGGTGTAACGGCTCAAGCAGCGAAAGGACAAGCCGTCAAGCTCGCCGGTGGCGCCGGAGCAATCCTCACCGGCGCCAAAGAAGACGGCGAGCAGGTCATCACCAGCCCCCATGTCCACCCCGCCACGGACGTCCCATTTGCTGCCGCCGAGAAGATTAAAAAGTACATACGCACGCAAACTTCCCCTACGGCGACGATCATCTTCCGCGGCACCGTGGTCGGCTCGACGCCTCCTTCCCCTAGAATGGCGTCTTTCTCGAGCCGCGGGCCGAACTTCCGCGCGCCGGAGATCCTCAAGCCGGACGTGACCGCGCCTGGCGTGGACATCCTCGCCGCTTGGACGGGCGCCAACTCGCCCTCCGAGCTCGACTTTGACACGAGGCGAGTGAACTACAACATCATATCGGGCACGTCCATGTCATGCCCGCATGTGAGCGGCATCGTCGCGCTGCTCCGGCAGGCGAGGCCGGAGTGGAGCCCCGCCGCTATCAAGTCCGCCCTGATGACCACCGCGCGCAACATGGACAACGCCGGCGGCGTGATCGGAGACATGTCCACCGGCGAGGCGTCCACGCCGTTCGCGCGCGGGGCCGGACACATCAGCCCCAACAGCGCGGTCGACCCGGGCCTTGTGTACGACGCCGGCACGGAGGACTACATCACCTTCCTGTGCGCACTCGGCTACACTGCCAAGCAGGTCGCCGTGTTCGGCTCGTCCACCAGCTGCTCGACGCGCGCGGGCTCCTCTGTGGGCGACCACAACTACCCAGCCTTCTCCGTGGTGATCACCTCGAACAAAAAAAAGGCGGTCGTCACACAGCGCCGCGTTGTGCGCAACGTCGGCAGCGACGCCACGACGACGTACCGGGCCAAGATCACCGCCCCGGACGGCGTGCTCGTGACGGTGAGCCCCGAGACATTGCGGTTCAGTGCGACGCAGAAGACACAGGGGTATGCGGTCACCTTCGCGCGGGAAATCGGCGCGAGCGTCACGGAGAAGTACACGTTTGGGTCGATCGAGTGGAGCGACGGCGAGCACACGGTGACGAGCCCCATCGCCATCACTTGGCCGACGAGCCAGGTCGCGGAGATGTGAATGCGATCAGTGTATTGTGTGAGTTTATGTCATTTGTTGTAAGTTTCAGTTCGTGTGGTGGGATCAATGAATCAAGACGTCTAATATTTGATTTCAAAGAGAAGTCTCATGTACGACTACCTGACTGTTAAATGTATAAAATCAAGCACCCGCAAAAAAAAATGTATAAATAAAATCAAGAAAAATAACTAAAGGGGAATAAGGTCATTCCAAGAAAATGAACTAAGATCATCATTTTCTTTTACAAAGGGTGAATTTTATTGGCTCAAAAATGGAGTATCAAGAAGATACAAATATAATGAGCACACACCCGCCTCTGCACAGGTAGGATGCTCAAAGCCAACGTAACACACACACAGAGAGAGAGAAAAACACGCCGGCAAATAGCAAAGTAATATAAGACCAAAGCTATGCGTAGATGAGGGGAAAAAGCGATCAAATCCGCGATTAGCAAACTACAACAACGACCGTACTCACACCAACCATATCACTACACCACATGGACAACGAGTTCTTTAACATCAACGCTTTCAGGAAGGGAGCGACGCCCAAGCCTCGATGTCATTGGATCCAACCACCCAAGGCAAAAATCTAGGTTTTCACTATGAAGAACCAGTCTAAGCATATCTGAGCAATGCCTACAACAATGTAATGACATAAAAACATAGCCATTGCCATGTATAACCAACTCGGGCCAGGCCTAGGCTTTCACCCTGGAACTCGAGACCGGGTGCTCGAGTTGCACCACCATCAACTACACTTATGTGTTGTTGTCACCATTTTTCCGCGATTTCAGCAGCTACATATGATATGCGACCATTGTCAGTGTACAACTCCCTCTGCGTCAGGCTATCGTTCATAGTTTGCATCTTTTTATGAAAGTTAACCACCGGATCACAGTCCGGAGTGAAGCTATTGTCGTAGGCCGGAGTGGTCACCACAAGGACCAACACCGAGGATGAAGCACATCAACGATGACTACCACCTCACCAGAGAGAGCTTTACCCATGCATGCCAGCCCAATGACCGACGTGGTCGGAACTGAAGCATGAACGACAGATCACCATCGCCGTCCCATGCCTACACCGAGCGTAGCCGCCGCTAGATCAGGCCAAGGCCAGGCATCTCCGGCAGACGAGTGGCGCTCCAGAAGACTGCGAGATGAAGCCGGGCCAGACTCCTCTGACACCCTACACACAGATGGCGTTGCCGCTCAAAAGAGATGGATGTGGTCGTGCTTGAAGTCCCTTGAGTAGCTGCCAACGAAGCAGGCCAATCAGGCCCAGATCTTTCTCAGATCTCCACCGAGCAACACACAAATCCACCATGGGAGCGTCACCAGCGCATCTACCGGCTGGGCACCATCATGAAAGAGTGGCATTGCCACCAAATCGTCCGGGGAGCGTTGTCCCTAGTCGTTGCGCGCGGACAGATGTGACCGTCGCCGCCCCAGTCGGCCGCCGCTGCCCCAACTTCTCCCTGTCGCCTTTGGTAGGTGGGCCCGCAGCTACCGTGATCAAGGCCTGTGGTAGCGGCGGCGAGAGAGTGACGGCGGGGGGTGCTTTTTCTAGGATCTAGGTTTCGCTTCGGAGCCACCCTTCTCTAGCCAATCCCTTAAAATTTAGGTCACTATATGGCCATCAATTAACTCCTCAACTTTGCAGATGAAGATGGCCCACCATGCAGAACCTCTCTGGGTTGTCACGTTTAGATCGGATCTCCGCACGAAGGCCAAGCTCCCATTTCGCGACGGCGTGCTCAGTCTCTGTCGTGATGCTCTCCATCTAGTCCTCCATTGACCCCGTGTCGACGACAGCCCTTCGGTCGATGCTAGGTATCTAAGGGAGGGCGAGGTAGTTGAGATCGGATGCATGATACATATGTTTGGTAAAGGTTGACCGGCGGTTAGATGATGTGGCACCGATACCATGTGCCGCAACAAGAGCCATGGAAGTGCACGCTAGCTCTACGATTAGATGTGAGGGTTCTCCAAAATTGGAGAGCACGAGTACCCTTAGATCTGCACGAGCGGGTGTGTCTGGCCACCATGAGGGCCTAGGGTTCCTGACAAAGACAACGTGAGGGCGCAGGGTGGGCCTTATCTATGCACCCCATCCGAATCGCACTTGTATCTGTTCATGTTTTGTCCATTTCTAGGAAATCCTAGATCTGCGGCTCCACCATTGGGATACTTGTTTGGGTGGTGGAAGGGGTAGTTTGCTGGTGATTGTCGATCCTTCGGTCAGCTTATTGTGTCTACACTTCTCAGCTCTTCTCATGTGCCTGCTTAGATGGTGGACAAGGCGGGAGCGGGGCGGTTCTGTAGGCAGGCAGCGCACCTGTGGGGGGCACGACAACTTTCATAGGGGCAACTCGGACCATGGTTGTGGTTCCCAACACGACCCCAACATGGTCTGGAAGCGAGATCCACCGTAAGGATCCGACAACATGCCAAGCTCTAGCGGCTCGGGCGGTTCCTCCATGTCATGAAGACGGATGGGAAGGCGCGATAGCACCAAGGGGCGACAAAGGTGGCGGTGAATCACAACCCCGAAGCGCCAATAGCTGGAGGACGGGGTAATATCAACTCAACTACTTGTCCTGCCTGAACTGGAACCGTAAAGATCATTTCACCGCTAGCTGCCCTACCATCCATGTGATAGATGTAAGAACCTTGTTCACACTAGATAGATTTTTTAAGCTATGCTTCTTGGGAGTGTGTAGCGTCTGTTTGTGCTATTAAGTCTCCTAGCTTGGGTTTCGTTTACATTCCTTATGTGTGTGCTGGTAAACATGCGAAAGAGAAATTCTAGCTATGTTGTGATTACGGTTATTAAAGGTGTTGCTACTGTTAAAGAGATAGATAAATATTTTAATAATTTCTTTGCCCCTAGATGGCGTTGTACTGCTAGATGCATTAGCCCCAATCAAATTTCTATGCACTTTCCAAATCCTAAGGAAGAATGTGCGCTTTATTATGGACAACATATGGAATTTTCTATGCGCATTCCAAATCATAAGGAATGGTGATGCGCCTATCTGCTTGGTCTCCTAATGTGGGAGCGAATGACCTCTTAATAAGGCTTGGCTAAGAGTTAGAAACATACCTGCAGAAAAAAGATGTGATGTTATAGTAGCTTGGCTCTTTGGTAGGAGTAACTATGGAAATAGACTATGCTACTGTCCATAAGGTTGAGTGTGCTAGAATTTCATTGGGTTGTAAGGATGCTTCAAAAGTTCTTTATGTAGCTAAAGGGGTTCTGGGTGAAGATTTTTATGATTTCTTCTATGAAGTGGAATATGTGGTTTTGGTCCTTGCTAAAATGGACAGGTTTGATACTTATTATAGAATTAATGATTCCTCTTTAGGAAAAGGGGCCAGAACTGATGCTGGCAGTTAAAACCATGCAAAATCTTCTAAAAATGTGGGTGGAAGGCAAATGACATTCTCTGGGTCAGTTAATGTGGGTCAAACTCAATGTTTTTGTCCCTCTCCAGGGTAAGGTGATCATCAGATGGAGCCTAGTGAGGGAAGTTTTAAGCATAATGAGTTATTGATTGATATTATGGCAAGAAGGCACAATCTACTGTCTATAACTCTGCCTACACCTACTGATCATAGACTGTTTATTAATAACTATGCTTGCATTCCTGATATCCCCAAGAATCCGTGGATTTCTGGAAAATAATTTAGCTATAATTAGAAGATTGGTGCTACTCCTGACAACACTTGGGCTCTTACTTGTGAATATGCACCCTCTACTCTTGTTCCTATGAAGAAATGATATGGCTATGTTGCTGCTGTGAAGTTATCTGGGTTCCAACATGAGTTGAGTTACAGTGACTGGCCATCTCTTCCAGTGGTTGGAATCTCCTAATGATTCACCGATTCACTCTTTTGGGGGCTGCAACTACTTCTCAAGTTCCTAGCAGGATGAGCACTCATAACTAGCATGACAAAGTGCAACATGTGTTTCTCAAAGCTGCTAAATTAACCAATAAGAGGAACTTGGAAGATAATATTGACAAGACAACTTATGTTTATTCCTCTGTTGCTTTATTTGATATGGATATCCTGTGTAAAGCTGCTAGAATGGGTGTAGACATTCCTTTAGATGATTTTGAGAACATTGCACTCACAGAGATGGAATTAACTAGGAAAAATATGAAAATGAAAAATCATGAAGATAATTTTGAATTCCTTACATATTCATGATAATAGAGGGAACGTGGTCCCTTTGTGTTTAACTTAGATTGATCCTATTGAGGTAGACGACAAAGCCGTTACTCTTATGATCAGGAGGAAGAATGGTACTTACTCTAGAAATGTGATTATTTCCACTGCTTTGAAATTTGGTATACCATGTACTAGGAGCCAAAAGGCTACTTCCAGTTCCGCTCTGCCTCCTAACAGATCTGGTACATTAAGGAAAATACCTAATAAATACAAATGATAGGTTGTTTTTGGAATTGTAGAGGTACTAAAAAAAGTTATGAAATCATACCTTTCTAACATTATTAAGAATTATCCTCTGGATTTTGTTGGTCTTCAAGAGACCATGAAGGGCAAGTACCCCCTACCTTTTAGGAAACTTGATCCTCATAATGTTTTTTCTAAGGATTGGATACCTTCCAATGGTAAATCTAGAGGCATTGAGTGTGGTTTGAAAACTGATATCTTTAATGCCCAATCTATGAAGAAAGAACAATATGTGATTTAGCTTCATTTGCACCCTATTCTACTAGATTGTGATATAGCATTTATGGTAGTATACATTTCTGGTCATGAGGAGCATATGATAAAATTCTTCTCTAAATTGGCCTCCTTTTGCAAAAATTTAGAGGTGCGACATGCGGTTAGTGGTGTCTTCAATGTGCTAAGGCATAATGACGAGAAAAAAATCCTTAATCTCGTAGCTCCGACATGTTTAATGCCATTATTAATACCTTGTATTTGAGATAGTTTTACAAGGTTGGTGGGATTTATACTTGAAACACAA